GCAAAGGAAGTGAAGATGAGGAATCACTGCACGCAAACAGAAGACACTCTGGGAACCACTGACCTGAGCCGGGAGGGAATCGGCCACCTGAAGATGCAAAACACACTAACATTAAGCCACGCAAACACACACCCCTGCTCTGCAGGAGACTCAGCGTTGATTAAAGCTAACTGCTGCAAATATCACTGTTTTACTGGAGACATTCCAGTTACTGCTGCTGCTAGAATGGTGACAATCGTGATGAATGTTATTACAGTCGCGTTCTCTTTGGTAGGAGGAGAGCATTTCTGCAAGCATGCTCAGTGTTTGATCACCGCTGCCTGAGGTGATCTGAGGTGACAAATAAACTTGTCTGAATACGGGACAGTTTAGATCTCAAGTCAATAAAACCAACATTTTACAAAGCAAAGAGTTCAGGAACATGAAGTCAGCACAATGATGCACAACACAAAATATGCAACATTTTACAACACTGCCACTCATAAGACTGCAAAATGCTAATTATTTGCAGCTTAGGTTATGAGTTGAAATTCATTGTTGTAATTGCAGCTATATGATAATATGCAACGTCATCCTTCATCTTGCCACCCTGCAAGCCTGATGTGTGGTTTTTGTCTTTGCTTTTCATTCACTAACCTCAATTCAACCCTCCACCCATCATACACCCAGGAAGAATTTATGCAAATGAATAATTAATTGCTGCTGAAACGGCTGGTATTCATGAGGCTGGCTTGATGTTGACATGTCAGGCTTGGTGGGGAACTTTCACACTGTTAGTATGCATTTCATTTCAAGGGCATGTGTTTTGCATTGCAGCAGAGACTGGCTCTAGTTTGTGTGCTCCTTGGCTGAGACAGAACTTCTAATATGTCATCTCTCTCACTCAGGGGACTGCAGCAAATCGCAGCTCTCAGCCAGGGATGCTGAGTAGCTTGTACAGCAACCAGCAAAATTAGCACAGATAGAGCAGAGAAAGGGGAAAAGGCTTTATGGCTTTGGATGTTTTGGGGAAATGTATATATACATTTGTCAATTGAAGGAAAACTGCTTTAAACATACATCTGAGACTAGGATTTAACTTCAGTTCAAGATGCATTTTAGACATGTGAGTCAGCAAACACATTTCCTTTTTATTCCCCCAACATGCTCTGTAGGAGGAATAAAGCTATATGCCATGCTGTTTTACACCTCCAAGCTTGACCAAGTCCAATTGTGTAACTGAGGGATTAAGAGCTTTTCTCAAAAGCACTTTGACAGGAAATTTCGAAGAGTGTTTCTCTTCTATCCAAAATTGGAAATTTAACAAGCACTCCTCTAACCTCTGGGCAGAAACTCGACTTTTTTCAGGCTGAACTTCTGTGTACATGACAGTGGTGGCCTCTGCTTCTTTTCCAACCTCATCTGCATGTTAGACTAAATATGAATTTCCAAGTGTTTCTCAAACAGTCACTGCAGTGTGGTTCATTATGCTTGATCCTCTTTTAGGTGAGGATGCCTTCAAGATTTTGCTGCACACTCTGCATACTCAATCCTCGGAGGAATCTCAACTCAAATATGACTAAATATTCGATTTTTGATCTACATGGTGACTTGATCACACGTATCAACCAGTTAATCACAGACTGATTCAGTCATGTAAGGCAGCAAACACCCACTAAAGGAGGAATGATTGGGCATAAAAAAATCAGAGCATTAAAAACATGGATTGGCATTTTGGGGCAGAAATGATCCATTTGCTTTTGATTTGATGAATAATAAAATAAATAAAAAAAATAAAGACTAAATAATGCAAGTTCTTCTGAGCTCATGCAGGTATAGTTAATGCATTCTTCTTGTAGGAATGTGGATGATTTTTAGTGAGAGCAACAGTACAATCACATTTATTGATAGAGCTGCAAAAATATCTTTTCTTTATGCAAATAAGACATTTAATCTCTTAATGTGGGCATATAAAGCACCTCTAAAATAGCTTCAATGCCACTGAATAATGTATATGTATCTAGGGGATTTTT